TATATATAGTATTTAACGGAAAATTCAGATTTTTCATAGGGGTTAGCCCACATATTTCATAAAAAAATTTAAAAAATGGAATTTTTGTTTTAATGCATAGCTGCATCATAAAATGCGATAGTATGAATATTAAATAGATTCGAGACCTTAAATGATTCAATTACTCGTGAAAATAAAATTTTTATAGGGGTTAATCCACATAATAAGTGGTATAAGAATGTTAAATAAATTAATCATTGGAAAATTAGAAATGATGTCCATATACCATAAATATATGTTTAGAAAACATATATATAAATTGGGAGTGTGGTTAGGTATTTTTAAACAACTTGGAAGTTGCTAAATAGTATATATAGTATTTATCGAAAAAAATCAGTTTTTTCGTAGGGGTTAGCTCACATATTTCAAAATAAATTATAAAATATGGTATTTTTGTTTTAATGCATAGCTTCATCATGCACCGACATAGTATGAATATTAAATAGGTTTGAGACCTTAAATGTTTCAGTTTCACCAGAAAATATGAATTTAATTAGGGTTAATTCACATATTAATTTGTGTATGAATGTTAAATAAACTAATCATTGGAAAATTTGAAATGATTCACATGTACCATAAAGATAAGTTTAGCAAACATATATAAAGATTTGGATGTGCGTTTAGGTATTTTTAAACAACACGAAAGAAGCTAAATAGTATATATATAGTATTTAACGGAAAATTCAGCTTTTTCATAGGGGTTAGCCCACATATTTCATGAAAAAATTTAAAAAATGGAATTTTTATTTTAATTCATAGCTGCATCATACACCCCCATAGTATGAAATTTAAATAGGTTCGAGACTATAAATATTTCAGTTTCTCCAAAAATAAAATATTTATTGGGGTTAATTCACTTATTGAGTGGTATATAAATGTTAAATAAATAAATCATTGGAAAATTTGAAATGATTCATATGTACCATAAAGATAAGTTTAGCAAATATATATAAATATTTGGAGTGTGTTTAGGTATTTTTTAAACAACACGAAAGATGCTAAATAGTATATATATATAGTATTTAACGGAAAATTCAGATTTTTCATAGGGGTTAGCCCACATATTTCATGAAAAAATTTAAAAATGGAATTTTTATTTTAATGCATAGCTGCATCATACAATGCGATAGTATGAATATTAAATAGATTCGAGACCTTAAATGAATCAATTACTCCTGAAAATAAAATTTTTACAGGGGTTAATCCACATAATAAGTGGTACAAGAATGTTAAATAAATTAATGATTGGAAAATAAGAAATGATGCCCATGTACAATAAATATATGTTTAGAAAACATATATATAAATTGGGAGTGTGGTTAAATAATTTTAAACAACACGGAAGTTGCTAAATAGTATATATAGTATTTATCGAAAAAATCAGTTTTTTCGTAGGGGTTAGCTCACATATTTCAAAATAAATTATAAAATATGGTATTTTTGTTTTAATGCATAGCTGCATCATACACTGATATAGTATGAATATTAAATACGTTTCAGACCTTAAATGTTTTTTTTCTCCAGAATATAGGATTTTTTTCTCCAGAATATAGGGGTTAATCCATATATTAAGTGGTATAGGAATGTTAAATAAATTAATAATTCGGAAATTATAAATGATGCCCATGTACAATAAATATATGTTTATAAAACATATATAAACATTTGGAGTGCCTTTAGGTACTTTTAAATAACACGAAAGAAGCTAAATAGTATATATATAGTATTTAATGGAAAATTCAGCTTTTTCATAGGGGTTAGCCCACATATTTCAAGAAAAATTATAAAAAAATGGAATTTTTGTTTTAATGCATAGATTCATCATACACCGCCATAGTATGAATATTAAATAGATTCGAGACCTTAAATGTTTCAATTACTCCAGAAAATAAGATTTTTATAGGGGTTAATCAACATAATAAGTGGTATAAGAATGTTAAATAAATTAATCATTGGAAAATTAGAAATGATGCCCATGTACCATANCTTAAATGTTTCAATTACTCCAGAAAATAAGATTTTTATAGGGGTTAATCAACATAATAAGTGGTATAAGAATGTTAAATAAATTAATCATTGGAAAATTAGAAATGATGCCCATGTACCATAAATATATGTTTAGAAAACATATATATATATTTGGAGTGTGGTTAGGTATTTTTAAACAACACGGAAGTTGCTAAATTATACACATAGTATTTAACGGAAAATTCAGCATTTTCATAGGGGTTAGCCCACATATTTCAAGAAAAAATATAAAAAATGGAATTTTTGTTTTACTGCATAGCTTCATCATACACCGACATAGTATGAATATTAAATAGGTTTGAGACCTTAAATGTTTCAGTTTCACCAGAAAATATGAATTTAATTAGGGTTAATTCACATATTAAGTGGTGTATGAATGTTAAATAAACTAATCATTGGAAATTTGAAATGATTCACATGTACCATAAAGATAAGTTTAGCAAACATATATAAAGATTTGGAGTGCGTTTAGGTATTTTTAAACAACACGAAAGATGCTAAATAGTATATATATAGTATTTAACGGAAAATTCAGCTTTTTCATAGGGGTTAGCCCACATATTTCATGAAAAAATTTAAAAAATGGAATTTTTATTTTAATGCATAGCTGCATCATACACCGCCATAGTATGAAATATAAATAGGTTCGAGACCTTAAATGATTCTATTTCTCCAGACAATAAATTTTTATAGGGGTTAATCCACATAATAAGTGGTACACTAATTAGATCGTAATTGAAGTTAAAATGAATTACTTGTTTGAAAGTTAGAAATGTTGACCATGTACCGTGAAAATATATTTATCCTACATTAATATTCATTGATAGTGTGGTTTGGTATTTTTAAACAACACCAAAGTTTCTAAGAATTATAGATAGCATTCATCGAAAAATTGAATTTTTTTTTTGTGGCAACAAACGGTTGATCTATTACTCAAGCTTGAGGTGATCTGGGAATCCAGACCGGAATAGAACAACCAACAAACAAAAGTTCTCGATAAAAGGATCGAGCAGTTTTAGCTAACGAATCAGCAACAGCATTCTGTGACCTACAGACATAAAATAACTTGAACTCTGGGAAACAGATCCGCAGGGTGGAGATCTTTTCCATTTCTGTCGAGAAGCATGGCCAATCCTTAGGGCTTCTGAGCATCGCTATCAAATTCTTGCAGTCTGTCTGTTGAAGCATATTCTCCATTGCCCACCGCATATATTTCACGAAAAAATAGAAAATTTGGTATTTTTGTTTTAATGCTTATTTGCATCATGCACTGACATGGTATGAATATTAAAGAGGTTTGAGACCTTATGTGTTCCGATTTCTCTAGAAATTTGAGATTGATAGGGGTTAGTACACTAATTAGATCGTATGTGAAGTTTAAATAAATTACTCATTAGAAAATTAGAAATGGTGACCATATACCATGAAAATAAATTAAAAAAAATATGATTTTTGTATTAATGCATAAATGTGTTCAGCACTAATATAAGATAAATATCAAAGAGTTGTGATCCCTGAATTGTCTAAATTTCTTTAGAAAATAGAGATTTTCTAGCTGCATAGATTCATACAGCACTGATATAGGAAAAGTATAATTTATAAAAGATACAACTAATAAGGACAAAATAATTCATGTGTAATTTACATAAAAACATGTTAATGAACAAAATCTCTTAAACGTTGTCATAGGATCATATTTTAACTATAAATAGCTTCATATAAAATATGAATGTTATACTCATCATTATAATTTACATTATTAGTTTAATAAATGATTAGGTTTAAATGTGTTTGCTTCTTTTAATTATTTGTAAATATATTAAATTATATTTATAATTTCAACTCATTTACAAAATAATAACATATATATATATATGTTTATTTATTTAAATTAGTATTGGCATATTTAGTTATAGTATGAAATTTTAAAACTAATATAAAATTTAAGTAGAGTCTGTAAATGAATATAGACAAATAGAATCTACATTGTACACCATGTTATACTTCCTCCGTTTCATTTTAATTGTCATTCTATGTTTTTGCACACAGATTAAGGAAACATTTAATTTTACATATTTTCAAGAAAAAAACACAATTACCTATACATCTAACCATTTTTCAACCAATATAAAAATAGAATATCATATAAAACTAATAAATTTTGTCTCGAAACTTGAAAACGACACTTATTTTGAAACAAGTTTTTTTCTCCAGAATGACAATTGATTCGACATAGAGGGAATAATATACTACTATTTATTTTTATAAAATGAGTTACTATGTGATATCACACGAATTTCTTAATTAGTAAATTTAATAAATCGCAGGATAAATAGTTTTAAATACAAGAACAAAACAAGTGACAGAGGGATTTTTGTCGTGAAGGGAAACAGCCAAACAAGGCTTTATGATTCATACGAATCACGAGATTGATCAACACCTAGCAAAGTTCCAAGAAGCAAAAACAACACACAACTCAAAGTTCCAAGAAGCAAAGACCAACACACAACTCATAATCATGTCTTTTGAAGTTACGGTCGATATAGATTCGCACACAATATTTGATCAAAGGAAATTCACATTCACACTTTTACGAATTGTATCTTGTAATTTACTAAATTTCCATCAACTACATATCTTTTTTTTTTGCCGGATAATGATACATATTATACTTACTTTGAAAAGAAGAAATAATAAAACTGATTCCTATATTCAGTTCTTCACATGTTTACATGTATACCTAACAAAAAAAAAAGAACTATCATTTTAATAGCATTGAAAAACTATTTTAAATCTACGAATATTATTAAACATGCAAAACTCTTATCATTTTGCGGTTACCAACTGAAATACATTGTTCTCTTATTTATTGTTTAATACGTAATTCAAGAAACTGCTCATAATATAAGACAAGAACCATCTTTCTCTCCACATCTCTCCACAAACAGTTGCTCAAACCCATCCTCTTCAAATGGCTACTCCTCCAATCTTCTTCCCCCTCCTCCTAATCCTATCATCAGCCCTACTCTCAGTCAAATCCAACACAGCCATCATAGAGACAACTTGCAAAACCACAAACTACTACGACCTCTGCGTCTCAGCTCTCAAGTCAGACCCAAGAAGCCCCACAGCCGACACAAAAGGTCTCGCCGCCATTATGGCCAGCGTTGGCATGGCAAACGCCACAGCAGCCGCCACTTACATCACCGGGAACCTAACCACCGCCGCAAAAGACACCGTCCTCAAGAAGGTCTTAAAAGATTGCTCAGACAAGTACACTCTCGCAGCTGATTCACTCCGGCTAACGATTCAAGATCTTGATGATGAAGCTTATGACTATGCTTACATGCATGTGTTGGCGGCTCAAGATTATCCTAATGTGTGCCGGAATATTTTCCGGCGAGTTAAGGGTCTGGTTTATCCGGCGGAGATTAGCCGGCGTGAAATGAGTTTGAGAAGTATCTGTGGTGTTGTCTCCGGGATTCTTGATCGGCTGGCTGAATAATTTTAATTGTACTATTTAATTTGTGGTTTTTTTATCAAATGAAAAAAAAAACTTTCGTAAATTTAATTTATAATTTGTAAGTTCCATACTACCTAATAGTTTATTGTTATTCACATGTGCTACGTACTTTCACATTTGCTAAACAGAACAACATAGAGAGAAACATACTAAATTATTTATAAATGAAAGCAAATTTAGGTGGACACATGATAGAAGTGATTAATAATTGAACTATAATATGGAGTAAATGACTAATATAATGGTTTTGATCTGCAAATCAAAAGCAAAAGACGTATGTTATCATTTCTAAAACAAAGCTTAAAGTTAGGTGGAAACATGGTATTAATTATTGAAGTAAATGTCTTTGTAGGTCACTGTGAGTCTGTGGCAAAAGTCGTCGCTATCATACTAAAACATGACTAATAATTGAACTATAATTGACATACCAACCAATTCGAAGAAGAATCAATGTAGCTATAGTCTCAAATAAACGAGCGAGAAAGTACATGCTTCAAGGAAACTTACATTCAATCAAAGGGTAGAAAGAGAGTTATATTATTGAATGATGGATTAAGGTGACACACAAAAGCTATAGGTTGACAACATGGGGAAGGACAAACAAAAACAAAAACATGATCATTTGGTGTGAGAGAGCAAAAGAGATCTCTATGATTATAATAGATCGGAATCAGAATGTTTCTCCTCCTTTGGTGGTGCGTACTGCCTCATGAGACGGGATCTAGCCCATGGGTCAAGCGGCACTCGTTGTGGTGGCTGAGGTGTTGGTGGGTTTGATTGCCTTAACTCATTCTCTCTATCGATAAACCTGTAAAAAGAATAGTAAAGATAAATTAAGCTCACAATGTAAAGTTAGCAAAAAATAAAGAATAGAGAGATTTGTTTAACTGACTCGATATAGGCCATTGGTGCAGCATCACCAACACGTATACGAGTTCGAAGCATTCTTGTATATCCACCAGCTCTATCTCTGTCATAACACGTAAGATACAGCTTATTAAACAGAGTACTTAGGAGGAAATTACAAAGAAAAGCACATTTACTTGTATCGATAAGCCAACTCAGTGAAGATCTTGTGAATAACATCATCTCCTCTAACAAAACCAGCAGCTCTTCTTGCTGCATCGAGTGAGCCCTGTAATCAAATCATTTTTCATCAGCGATTATCTCAACCAAAAATAATAATCTAAGATTAAAACCAAGATGTGCACACTAATCACGTGAAGACATGAGCATAAATAAAAGTTCCAAAACTAAACTGTGATGTCTCTGATTATCTAAAGAGTCACATAAGTTCTAAAACAATAACCATTTATTTTTAATGCTAAGTTCTAAAAAAAAAAATACGAATTAATTACCTCTTTGCCGAGTTGAATCATGTTATCAGCAAGACGACGAACCTCTTTAGCCTGAAAAAAAAAATCAGTATTGTGTAAATAAATGAGAAACATTATTTTAGGACAAGACACACTGCGAGTTTGTAGAAGTAAGATCTAAAACACCTAACTAAACCAACAGATCAATACATTTGATTAATACCTTAGTGACAGTGGTTTCAATTCGCTCGTGTTTCACCAATTGAGAAACCAGTGTCCTGATATATCAATCGAAACAAAGTTGTAAGAAATGTGCTAAGAGACAAAGAGGATCGGTGTTGAGATGTTTATACTATGAAGAGAATAGGAAGAAGAAGAGGAAGGAACCTGAGCATAGACATACGGTGACCTGTGTGCCGGCCGAGTTTCCTGAGCTTCGTCATTTCTGCGACGGCGATTCGATCGGAAAATGGGACTGGGAGGGGAAGTAGTAGGAGAAGAAGAAGAACCCTACGACGATAAAACCCAGCAGCTCGTATGTTGTTGACCAATTAACTTGTTAGTGGGCCGGGCTTTCGGATTTTTAGCCCATTATGATAATTAGCAGACTGTGTGGCCCATTTTCTTAACCGGTTATTTTTTGTTGTCCTTAAGATTAGATTTGACATTTTTTTTTTTCTTATAAATCTTATCGGCTGATCCGGCTGATCCAGTCGGTCTCAAAAGAACACTTAATACTATAGAGTTGACTGACTACTACACTGCATGATTCGAGTTTGAAATATCTTATTACTAATGTTAAGGATAAACTGACCATATGTTATGATCCACCATGTAAACCACTAGATCTGAAGTCCAAATCCAAACTCGTTATATAGTGATAATTTAATTTTCAAGAAAAATCAAATCCAAAATTGAAATAAGTACACATTAAATCCCAAAAAGATATCACTAGGTTACCATCATTTGGTTAGATTTGAGACATGTTAAGTTTTCCTAGACGATCATAGCACGTGTGCGATCAGTTTTCTACTACTACAATGGTCAATGCTAAACCAAGATATTCAAACCAAGAACATTTACTATTGTGTTATATTATGACATACTATTATTACGTGGCGAAGAAAACAAAGGAAATTTACTTGTTGGTGGGAGCTTAATGGACATGTCAATGAATGTGCATGTAGATGAAATATAAATGTAAAAAAAAAAAAAAGAACTGTATAAGTTGCAACTGGTTTATGGAAATTAAGACTTGGCATTAATACATCTGAAAATCAAAAAGGTAGCTAACGAACAAGTTAGTTCACCAAATTGTCCGTGTCTCTCCCCCCTTCCACATACGAATGTATGCATGAGTATTTAACTTGTCACTTCAATATATCTGTCAACTTATGAACCAAACTGTTTTACTCAAATTCAAAGAAAGCAATCTCAACTACATATTTGATTGTATCTTGTACTGGCACAATGTTAGGTAGACTCACAATTTTAAGAGGCGTGACTCGTGATTCGACTCATGAGTCATGCTTCTCGCCCATATTTACCTCAACCAGTCCGTACAATATACGCGTAGTAGTTAGTAGTCAAGTACGTAACGTTAATTTCTTCAAATAGTTGCAGCTCAAGCAGACCAAAAAGAATTTTGCTGACAAAGCAAACCCCCCCAAATACCATCAGTATTTAGCTGAAATACTGTATACGTGACAGTACATTATAGGAACTAGTGTCAGTTACTATACTTCACGAGAAACCTGAACAACCAATCTAGGGATTAGCAAGAATTGTCAGTCAGTTTTCGTGGGTTTGGCGTGAAATAATGGACAAGTTTGATAGCTAGATTTGTGATAGGCGTAGCTAGTATAAGACGTAGTCATGAGTGTTTAAAATAGTAAAGAAAGGTATTGGACTTGGAACAACTCTAGATTTCAACTGTTGTTAGTTGTTACTGACATTACTACGACTCTTCTATTTTACTTTACCTTTTGGTCTTCTACCTTCTCATCGATAGCATAGTCTGATCATTTTACTATCACTTTCACCAGTATTTACCACCATGTTCCATATCAAATCACTGAAATAAGTTTTTGGAAAGGCTTTTAAGAAACAAAGTAAGAGAGTTTTACAATTCACTGTAAGTTCTAATTATCCCATTAACATTTCTTGAGAAACACCCTCAAATATCAGTAAAATAACATTTTCCAAAAAAAAAAATAGCACATAAAAAGAAAAACTCGTAAAATAACTCAATTAAATTTTAAAAAACTTTTTATATAATATTTAAGTTTAGAATTTAGTCATTAGAGTTTATGATTCAGTATTTAGGAGTTGGTGAGACTAGAGTTAAGAAGTTAGAGTAATTTATTTTATTTTTATGTAAAATGAATGCTATTTTGGAGTTTCTTTTCTTTAGATGCTAATTTATGATAAACTTATAAAAAAACACTATTTTAAGGATTTACCCATATTTCTTATTGTCTCATCATCTTACAAGTTTGAATGTAAACTTAACCGTGCTTGCGTACCAAACAAAAAACTTAACCGTGCAAGTCTACGGAACACGTTGCATTAAATAAAGTTACTAGCTCTACTGCATTATTTACATAAAAGACTGAAAGAGCAAGAACGGTGATTGATATATTCACTGTTTACGTACGTGTGTCTATACAATATGTAGTAAAAGATATGCATTTCAAGTAGCTTAGATTGAGGAGGATTTTGCAATAAAGTTTGAATAGTTGCTATGCTATGACATGATTATAATCGGTCACTATATCTAGACCGGGGCCTATCACATTCACCCGCCAAACAAAAAAAATCTAATACATTTAATAGAATTATGATAATCTATTAAATCTAAACTTTATAAAGCTTTGAGTCTTGACATAACATACAAAAGGCCTACCTTACGATATCACTTTGTATTATTATTTTCTCTTTGCACACTCTCTCCGTTCTTTCTTTTTCATTGGACATAGGCGACGAAACCTTACATTTAACATAAACATCTGTTGCAACGAATTTAGTTTCGTTTCTATGATTTTGGTTTGTCAATTATGATGTGTCGACACTTACACAGAACTAAAGAACTGCTTTGAAGAAAACAAACTTATTAATATAAATAACGAAAGAAGTGATCAAGTATCTATCAATATTTTACAAAGTTATACAAACTCAAATCTTACTGATTTAACATTTCCTAAGCAACTATTCATAAGAGAAAAACACATTATTGTGCAGTCTATAAAAAACTAACACTAAACAGAACTTCGGCGTGTAGACCAAATGTACCTGACAACAAGTCTACAACTACTTGCTTGGTTCGTGATTTATTCAAAAACCCTATTTTGAAAATAAAATAGAAAATATCAGAAGTAATTAAATACATTATAGAAAAATCTCTTAGTCAGATTCTCTCTCTCAATCTCTATCTGCCCATATTTCTTGCTTTCAACAAATTCATTTCACCAATTTCCTTTTGTCCCATCAACAACAAACAAAATACAAAGTCCTTTCACAATATTAAAACCAATTCACCAAAAAACCTTCCATAAGAAACCTCTCTTCAACAATAATGTCTTCTCGAAACCGCAGATCAAGAACCCACTCTACGTTCTCGTTCTTTACAAAAACCAGTTTTGTTTTTCTACTTCTTCTTGGTTTCTGCTATGGAGCAAGAACAAGTAAGAACAATGTCTTCAACTCGAAACCACACAAAGAAGTTAACCACGCTGTTTCATCTTCATCTCAACAGTTCTTGGGGTTCTTACCACGTCACTTCCCTGTTCCAGGTTCTGGTCCCTCTAGAAAACACAATGATATCGGTTTACTTAGTCGTGACCGATCTTCTCCGTGAAAAGCTTTAAAAGGTCCTCATGACTTCATTTTCCTTTCTTTTATATGGTATTCTTGTGTAAATGGTTTTATTTATATTTTTGGTATGTGATGCCAAGAAATTGGATTTTTGGTTTGGTTCTTGTCAACGAGGCAAAACATATATAAATCTATGATTAATCTGTAACTGGAAGTTGTAATTTTGTTTTTTGAATGCTCGAATTTGTAATGTTGCATGCTATTAAAGTACAAAAGCGGGTGGTCTTCTTGATATACATACTCTTATTCTTGTTATTACGACCAACTCAAGTGAAAATGTAGTTTAAAACCATCAAAGTATACAATTATTTAGGAAATGACGTTGACAAAGACTACTCGATGTGTGTTTGTAAACGAACTAAATCTTTCATCTTTGACGAGACATATATATATACAACTTTGCTATAAAGTTCGATGCAGATTGGTTTTGACTTTTGAGATGTATGATCGACTTTTTTTTGGGATTTATGTTTAATTGTAACCAATAATGTCGTTGTAATGTCAATCATGACTTTATCGTTTAATTTTTGTATATTTCCATACTCATGCAGTTTTATAGTTCTAAAACACGCCAGTCTTGTTAGGGAAAATTAACACACTTACGACAAGCACAGAAAATGAGAAAATGAGAAAATGAAAGGGAATGGCATTTTATTTCGTTCAATAAAAATCCGCCATTTTTTTGCAAAATTTTCTCGAAACATGGCTAAGGGACAACACAAACAACTTAAACCGAAACTTCAAACGTTAAGAACTTAACAGAAAATCATGATTCAACAGGAGACTCAACTTTGTTTTCCTCAGCTTGAAAAAACGGGATGGGTTTCTTCGGAGCAGGAAGACGTCCAATGCTATCGACCCTATCTTGTTGTTTAGGTGGTGGTCTCGCTGCTTTTGGCAATAGCCTTCCTTTCTTCTCAAACCATTCCGGTTTAAGCAACGCCCTTAAACCCAATTTGTTGTAATACACTCTCCTCACTGATCCTCCTGCTGCTTCCACCACCTCCTTGGCTCTAACTGTCACTCTTGAAACCTGTAATAAAACAAGCCATTTCCAATTAAACTAGCACATTCCAAAGACTGGTGTCAAGACTATATAGAGCACAAATTCAAATGGTTAACCTCGAAATGAAGTGGCCATTTGATCTCATCAGCACCACGACCCATTAGTCTTACTCCGTCTTCTATTTGCTTCCCTATGGCTCCCACATCCTTGAGCGTCTTCATAGTGATCAACTCATGAGAATCAATCTGCCCAGCGTTTATAAGTTTAGCTATCTTTCCAAGACCAACAGGCTGCATCACACAACAACCACATACATCTTTAGTTACTGCATCAACAAAATTCAAATCCTCAGACACAGTATCATCTAAAAGCAGCTAAAGACAGCACCATGGATCTAGATTTCTCGTGAATCTAGTGAATCCATCTCACTGCTGTAACCATAAAAACAAACCCAAGAAGACAAAAGACACGAGCTCTCGAGAAGCTAGAGAGTTCGAAATCCTCAGACACAGTAACCACCATCTACTTCACTACAAGCAGCTAAAAAACAGTATCAAACAGATTCAGAAAGAATCAAAAGAGCAAACCTTTCTGATTTAGATTCTCTTACTCAACCTAATCTAAAAAACCCACCACACTTAAAGCAACAAAACCATTAAATTCCGATAAACCAAAAACCTCTTCCCGCGAAAGGCGCGACTTTTATTACCTGAAAATGAAGCTTAAACTTGTTCTTAAACCCACGTTTAGGCAAACGACGTCGTAACGGAGTCTGCCCACCTTCAAACCCAAACTTCATCGTCCCTCTCGCCTTCTGCCCCTTGTGACCTCTCCCCGCGGTTTTACCTTTACCAGACCCAATCCCTCTTCCTTTCCTCGTCTTCAGCTTCCTCGGCACATTGTCTCTCAGATCGTTCAAGCTCAGCAAACTATACGCCCTGATCCCCTGAAAGGACGAAGCTTTGCTCGTTAAGGTGGGGATCGGAGATCGGCGGCATTGGAGAAGTGGCGAAGACGAAGAGGTGAGGAATCTGGGTTTGGAGGTGTGTTGAATCGATGAATTGAGGAGAGATGTTGAAATGATCGATGAGATTCTTCTTCTGATCATCTTCTTTCTTCGTTTGAAGATTTCGATTTGGGGATTAGGGTTTATGGGATTTTAGCTAAAGCGCTTGTGAGTCATTTTCGTTACGTGCGGGGATACTGTCATTATTGGGCTTATTTGTTTATTATTATTTACAACGTTTACTTATGGGCCAGCTCAACATTTTCAAAGGAATAAAGTAAACCGATTCGGTTGACTTGTTTGGTTAAGTGAAATATTTTCAATGTTGTGTATGATTGAAAACACTTTAGATTGAAAACACTTTAGACTAATTATATGGAAAACAAATAGAATAAAAAAAATAGGAAAGGAAAAATGGGAGTAAAATAAACATGTATACAATAATTAATTTATAGAAAATTAGAATGAAAATGGAGTAACTATTTTTTCTTCTCTTTTCAGTGATCGGAAAATAGAGTAAACACTTTTATTCTATTAATTTTACTCTAATTTAAATGAAAAAGATAAATAATGTAAGATGGTCTATATTTATATATGTTGAAATGTATGTATAAATATTTTCTTTCTAAGAAATGATGACCTTTATGATTTTTAGATTTTTCTTATTAAATTAGGATAATGTGTTGAATAAAAGAGTCAACTAAAATCAATAAACTGATAAGTTTATGATAAATCACCGCGACATGTTATTTTATTAGATCCATATTTAATTTGAAAAGTTATAAAATCCACACTGGTTTAATGACTTTTGCATAGACCGTATCATATTTGATTATTAAAAATCAAGACGCGAAACTTGTTATATGTTTTTTAAACGAATCAGCATCTTTAAATGTGAATGCATCACCAAAATAAAAATAATTAAAATAAATAAAAATTTTGAAACGACTAATAACTGATAATTGTGAAATTCTTGTACAAACTAGTGTGACTGTAAGAAATCCTAATGAAGTACGTTATACTACTGAAATCCTAATGAAATTCTTATGCAAACACGTTATAAGAAATCCTAATGAAATTCTTCTGCAAACACGTTATACTACTGTAATTCTTTATGCTTTCAAGAATACTTAATAAAGTAAAAGATTGTAAGAAATCCTATATTTTTGTATATTTCCTTTATTTCAATTAAAATTAAAGGAATTATACTTTTATATATTCATAATTTTAACAAAATAATAATTTTATATTTTAGACACTAAATTAAACAAAAAATTAGAGTGTTTTCACACCTTAATTGTAAGATAATTCAACCAATGGTAATCTCGTATTTCACATATATATCAAATATCTCATTTCTACTATGTCTATAGTTCTCTAAAACTATTTTTTGGAGGAGGTTGCTAGATTATTTCACTTGGTTAGTCATTTTTCAGATTATTCGAGTGATTAAAACTGTGGAGAACAAGATGCTAAAGCAATTGAGCTCAATCTCTTGATCACTATATAAGAGGTGGAGAGCTTGTTGGTTGCCTTGAAATTGCTTTTAATTTAGATTAGAAATGTTTAAAAAAAAAGTTGAACATAATAAGAAGATGTTAAAATTTATCTTTTTAGATTAGTAAAATGAGCTCAAACTTTAAAGATCGATTATATTTTGATCCGCGGTTTTAAAGGTTAATATTATTTTTGCTTACATCTTTTTGTGATATTATTATGGCATCTATATTATTATGGTGAATTATGCAGACTGGAGAAAAGACTTACAAGAGATCTTCAGCACGGCGCAAGGCGTACCGTCAGGAATGGATCTCATAGGGCGGCTCAAGGTGATGCAGTCAGACGTGAATCCGCATAAGGCACGTAGAATTGTCGTCTGTAATATCGTCTATATAATATTTCTCATAATTTGTAATGCATAATTATCCAGTGTTTAAAAAAAAAAAAAGTTTAGCCTTTAGTGTAAGGTAGGTTGCTGCCATTATTGGGCTTCTTCATTCATTATCATTTAAAGGTTGGTTTAAGGCCCAAATGCTCCACGTACCACTCGATAGATTTTTTCCGGTTTAGTCAAATAACCGTATTTATTCTTCCGAATCAGTTGACTTAAATAACGACGTCGTTTATTTGATCTGAGAAGGGTTTTAAAGTCAGCTTCAGCTTCGTCGTTTTATTATTTCTCTGTTGAGAGAAGAAGCTGGTGAGAATGGATTGTTACAAACCTTCAGAAGATTTCGAAGTCAATAACTTACAATCTCTCGTTGACTTCGATGTCACTGATTCAAAGGAGCTTTGGCTTATGCAGTGCCCTTTAAGTCATGTACGTTAATGAATTATGCTCACTAATAAAGTCTATAGTGTTAAGCAATTGATAATGTTATTTATTTTTCAGTTTCCAGATATTGAAGGGAAGGAGCTTAAGGTTAAGTTAGATAAAGATGGAGTCTTTGGAGGTTTTGAGGATTTATCTGGTAAAGGGTTAATCATAGTTTTTGGTCATTTGTCTTTGGTTTTTAAACCATCTTCTTGATTTTTTTTTTCTGATTAGGTAAAGAGATTGAGCTTGTTAGCTTTGCTTCTCAAGATGCTGATGCAACTGTGATCTTACCTTCTCAACAAGAATCCAAAATAGGTAATTTTTAGACATTGCTTACAGAAGAGTTGTGTCTGGTTTCTATGTCTTAATTGTTTTGTTCAGTTACTACAGCCTTGCTCATTGCTTTAGAAGAGTTGTGTCTGGTCTCTATGTCTTAATTGTGTTAAGTTACTATAGCCTTGCCCATTCTTGATAAGAGGTGTTGTGTCTGGTCTAGTTCTTATTCTTATTCATTGCTTGATAAAAGTTATGTCTGGTTTCTATGTCTTAATTGTGTTCAGTTACACAGCCTTGCTCATTGCTTCACAAGAGTTGTGTTTGGTCTCTATGTCTTAACCGTGTTCAGTTACACAGCCTTGCTCATTGTTTGATAAGAGTTGTGTCTGGTTTCTGTGTCTTAATTGTGTTCAGTTACACAGCTTTGCCCATTGCTTCATAAGAGTTGTGTCTGGTTTCTATGTCTTAATCATCTTCAGTTACTACAGCCGTGCTCATTGCTGGATAAGAGTTGTGTCTGGTTTCTGTGTCTTAATTATGTTCAGTCACACAGCTTTGTCCATTACTTCAAGAGTTTTGTCTGGTCTCTATGTCTTAACTGTGTTGAGTTACACAGCTTTGCCCATTGCTTCATAAGAGTTGTATCTGGTCTAGTTCTTAATCATGTTCAGTTACTACAGCCTTGCTCATTGCTTGATAAGGAGTCGTGTCTGGTTTCTGTCTCTTAATTGTGTTCAGTTACTACAGCTTTGCATATTGCTTGATAAGATTTGTGTCTGGTTTTTATGTCTTAATCATGTTTAGTTAGCCTTGCTCATTTCTTCATTGATTCTTATGTGTTTTTTTCTGTGTGGCAGTTGGGGAGATTTCGCGGCGAGTTTCATTAGTTCGTTTCCCTGAACCAAAAGAGCTGCTTGAGACAATGAAGGTCAAAACTCAGCAGAAGCTTGTAGGTGGAGCAGTGGCGAGTTCCTCTGTTAAAAACTCTAACCCGGCTCTTAGTAGCCGTCGTAAAAGTGTACAGTCTGCTCTTCGACACTCAGTTTCCACACGCAGCAGCAGAGACAAGAGCTTGTTCTCTACCTTAACCGAGACTCCCATGTCTTCAAAAAGAAAGCATTCAGAGCCCTCCTCTTCAGATAGATCACGTAAGTCTAAGAAGCAAGTGAAGACTGTGAAGTAATGATATTTCATTTTGTTTGGTGGTAACCAGTAATGTATTCGAATTCATAACTTATTCTGCATTAGATGCTTTTATAGTTACCTTGTAACAAGGTCAAAGTCAAGCAGCTTTTTAACTTAGTAGTATAAAAACAAAAAGGTAAGTTTGTGGTTCCTTTTGTGTTCAAGCATCTGTGGTTGGAGTAGTTGTAGCAGAGTCTTGTGGAGTTGGGTTCCATTGCTGTGGAGTGTGAGCTTTCTTTATTGAGAGAGCATGTATCTCTTTCATCTCTTCTTCAAGAGCTGCGTTCACCATGCGGTGCCTCTCCAGCAATCTCTTCCCTTCAAACTGTTCCGAGACTATCTCAACAGCAAAACTCGCCCCACAACTACGAAGTAGAAACAAGATAAAGTTTAATAAGATTGAGAAAACTGGAAAAGAAATTGTAATTTCAGAAAGAAAAATTGATGGTTTTAGTTTATGAACTTTACCCTCCTGATGTGTCAATGACTTCCTGGTATACACAAAAGATAAACCAAGCCAGTGAGTATGATAAAAGTTTCGGTTTTCATCAAGAGATCACTAGTTAAAATATATCTAATTTTACATAGGATGCATGTGTGATCATTCAAAGCTGTATAATATACAGTAACCATAAACAACAAATAGCAAGTTATGTGATAGACTTACCAGATGAACAGGATTGAGTTTGGAAGTTAAAGAAGCTTCGACTTGCTCCTTGGTCACACCCATCTTCCCTCTTGCGTAAATGTTATGCTAAGGTTAAGTAATTTTGCTAAACCTTTATGTGTTTGGTGTGAGAGTCGAATTTATTCTCTTCTCATGATATTCGCTATTTGATGGGCCCATCACAAACCAAACAAATAATGGGCCGAGATCCATTTAATTTCCACCCATCTTCCAATTTAAACTACGTAACTGTAGTTCCATGCAAAAAAGGACAATGAAGATGTGTAAAAATATAAAATGATATGAATCAGTAAATATGGAAACTAAAATCACACATATTATTTATTTACCATGTTACGTAATATCCCCTGCTTGATTCAGTATCAAAAACATTGAATATGCATCCAAATATATTATACTCTTTACTAATAATTTGATTCGTTATAATTATGTAAGGAAACTTATATTCAATCAAATCTTCGTCTATCTCTAGCCGCAGAGAATTTATCGGACATAAATCTTCTTTGACCATCCCTCCTTACCTCCATCTCTCTCTAATCTCTCGGAACATAATAAAAAGATTTTTTTTTTTGTATCATTACCTAAGCCAAGAAACAAAAACAAAAGTCTCAGCGTTTGGCGAAATGGGAAACTGTGCAACCAAGCCAAAGGTTCTTAAAGATTCCGAGGAGGATATGGTTCCGGTTGAGCGAGAGGCGACGGCTCCGGCGGAAAAGAGCCAAAACAATGCTCCTAACACGGCGGGTGTAGAAGCAGCTGCGGCAAGACGGAGCGAGAAAGGAAAAGAGATTTTGGCTGAAGATGATGTGAAGGTAGAACACAACAAACGCCAATCTCTCAGTCCCTTGTTTCACGAGGTAACTTTCTCTATATTTAACGACGTAAATCATTTAAATGTTTGTAATATATATAGGTGGGTTATACAATCAGAACATGGCTGTTTTATAAATAAATATTTTTACAGGATACTTTTTTATTTTTTAGAATTTTCAAGAGACTTTATTAATTCTTGGAAATACTACATTTTTTTAATTTCCAAGAATATAAGTATATAGCCATGTTTATTACTCCCTCTGTTTCAATATAAAACATGTTTTAGAGAAAAATCTTGTTACTAAAAAATCCATATTTCACATTTTCTATGTATTATTTAATGTTAAATTACAAATTTCAAAACATTTATTAAAATTCTGTTGGTTAAAAAATATGGAGAATAGTATAATACAAAAAAATAACACATTGGTAATTTAAAATTCATAATTTTTGAAAAAAATACTAAAACATACCTCTTATTGAAACAGCAGGAGTAGTAACTGTTAAATATATTATGAAGGACAGATAAAAGGAGAAAAGCTTTTCTTGCCTTCTAATAAGTTTCAAAGAGTCCTTCAAAATAATTATTACGTAAGGGAAATGATAATGTATATGGAGGATTTTTTTTTTTTCTAATGCAGGACAAGGTAAAAGGAAAAGAGCTAACCGATACTACTCCCACAAAACTTGAGATCAATGACAAAACTGGTGCTTCTTCAGAGGTTTCAAAGCTTGATGATGCTCCTCCTTTGATGGCTACTAATGTAAGAACTCCTGAAACCTTTGAAGTTCAAACTCGAAATGACCTTGAAGTCAAGATTTCAAAAGATTCCGAGGTTAAGACTCCTGAAACGCCTAAAGCCAAGGAAGCTGAAGAACAAGAAGGTCATTTCTCAGAGAATTGGGAGGTTAAGTTTCCAGAGGAACTGGAAGCTAACAAAAAACCAGAAGTTGTTAAGGTTAAAGAAGAGTTGAAACTTCCACAAGTTTCTAAGGTTCCTGCCCCTGAATTGTCTGAAGTGAAGGTTACAAAAGAGTCAGATGTTCCTAAGGTATTGAAAGATAAGAATGTTCAAGAGGTTTCTGAGGTTCCTACTCGTCCTGAATTGTCTGACATTAAGGTTACAAAAGAGTCAGATGTTCCTAAGGTCAAGGATAAGAATGTTCCAAAAGTTTCTGAGGTTCATGCTCCTCCTGAATTATCTGACATTAAGGTTACAAAAGAGTCAAATGTTCCTAAGGTCCTGGAAGATAAGAATGTTCTCAAGACTGATGAAGTTAAAGCTGCCGAGTCAGAACTTCTAAAGGTTTCAGAGGTTAAATCTTCTAAAGATTTAGAGATTAAAGTCAAGACTCCTGGAACATCGAATGTTAAGGTTGAATCAGAGGTGAAGACTGATCAGGAAGCATCTAAAGGTAATATTGTAGAAGAAAGGAAGGTTCTAAATGCTCAAGAGAAGATTGATAAAGCTGAAGCTCAGATTCTTGATGACATTAAAGTGAGAGAAGATAAAGAGATTGCAATGTCTAAAAAAGAAGAAGAAAAAGGTTTTTCTATTGAGAAGAGAGCTAAGGAGTCTACACTATCTGGTTTAGATAGCAAATGAGTTACTGAGGCAGAGAGATTACCAATTAGAAGTAGCTAAGTTATACAATTTTTTAAACCAAGTCATGGTTTGGAAAAAGCAACGTCTACAACACAAATTTAGCATATTCTTTTAGGCAATTTCAATTTGTAAACTTTGAAATCACTTCTTTTTATTTTGGTATTTAATTAATGATTTTGATTTGGTTTGATTCTCACTCGGCTGTATTTAATGATGAGGCCTTGTCCTTGGGCTGCATCTCTTGTCGAAAGCTTGTATCTGCCTAGTACAGGAGCTTTACCATTTCATGCAAGACCATGCTGATTTCTCCTGTTGGATCCTGCCATTTCTCAACGACTTTTCTATTTCCCTAAGAAATTCTCCTAGACTCTAGTTTTATTTTCTGTTCTAGACAATTATTCAACACAGTCTTCTCTATTTATTATATAGTTTAAATTTCTTACAAATGGTAGATAATATCACTATAATTTTTGGGCTTGATTCAACACATAAACACTATATAACTCAACAGAAAAAAATTTGAGAACATGTTCTTTGATTTTCGGATATCGACAAAATTTTGTTGAGATATTAGTGATACAAATTAAGGGTGACAATATGTTTACGAAAAGACAAATGCAAGTAATATGAAATACTTGGAAGATGTAAGAAGTAACGAGAAAGCAACTAAAACTACAACTTTTAAAACCACTAGTTCTTATTGCTTTTGATGTTTTTTAATAATTTGATGGTGGAACCTTTTATCTGCATATTTAGTAAAGTTAGGATGTATATCTAGTCGAGCAATCCATTAGACATTCCATATTACTGTTATTATAATCAGTGCTATATATAAGGACAATTTGCAAGCTGTCAGAAACTTTTCATTTCATACAAAAAGCTTTATACATATTTTTTATTTTGTTCTCTTTTTTGCTTACAAATTCTATAGAAAGTTAAAAACCATTCCAAGAAAAATAAAGCAAACTTATATGGGCTCTATTATGTGAATGGTGTGACACATATAATAAGCCTCTTGTATAATACAAATTAAGACATTTCATTTAACTAATGACAACCTTCACTTCATTGCAAGCAACATTGGTTTCTTTATGTGGATCAGTCTTCTCATCACTACGGTTCTTCTGCTCTCTACTTTTCCCCCACAGCACACAGTAGAGTCCTATAATCAATAATAATCCACCTAGAATACTACAAAAACACATAGATTTTATAAATTAATGTATTGAATAAAAATTATATATTTGAAGAAATAACAATAATATTCGAGTAAATTTGTAGAACCTTCCAAGTCTGATGATCTCGCAAAGTAGAATCGATGAAGAAAGGAGAGTGAAGACGAGAGACATAGGTGTGAACATCGATAAGAAAACAGGTCCCCTCTTCTCTATAACCCATGATTGTAAATAATATGCTACCCCTGTTACAATGAATCCCTGCACATACGTCATTTATATAAATTATTATTAGTGAATAATTATATGATTCATATAATGGAATGTAATATCATTGTCAAATGGAATAGAGTCAACTAATTACACAGTAAATGACTGCAACGAGTCGTAGGTTCCAACCAAGCTTCCATGCTGAGATATCTCTCTCGAATGCAATAGCAATAACAAAGGATTGGATTGAACTCAATAGACAATGAAGAGTTGTGAAGTACAGCTTCGAGGGGTAAAACTTTATCACACGACCCTGTTCAAATTTTATATAGCGAAAACATAAAGTTAAAATAGCAGAAAAAAGTATCATGACAATTATTCAATCAGCACAGTAGATAAAACAAATAATTAATCCAACCAACTTTCAATATTTTAATATACATTCACAAAAGCTTGCTACTTAGTATATGCTTGTCATGTATTACTAAATTTTGTACTAATTAATTACTAAAAGTCTAAAAATATGGTGGTGTATATGGAGCAGTTTGATTTGATACCTGCAAAACGAGCCAGAGACCCCATAAAATGTTGGAGCCGATCATGAGAACACATCCTTTCAGCCAAGAGGTGGAATGGCCGGAGACGTGGCCAGGAATATTCTGGTGATGATAGAGGTGAGAGCATACAGGTAATTTCAGTACTGGACCTTTGTAAAGGGCTAATGTAATTACCCCTCCCATGCAAACAGTTATTCCCACAAGTTTGGCTGTTCCTTGTATGCTCTTAACCTTAAGCGTCTCCATTCTTCAGTTATAGACACGGTAAATAAATATATTAATAAACACTATGTAGGAATCACTACAAGAAAACCGGTATTTAGCCACAAATTAGTTACAAAAAACTGTAGTTTTGAAGTAAAAAAAAAGCCACAAAATAATAACAATTTTTTGTTAAAAAACGTAGTTAATTTCGTAGATTTCTGTGGGTAAAACTACAAAGAACATTATATAGCTACTCAGAAGAAAATGAGTCATGATCACCAGCCAAAAGAGAATCAAGAAGAATGTATTGCAATTAATATATACCCAAGAAAGAGAGCCAAGAAGAATGTGATGGCCGGAAGGGAAGCTGTTGTGGCTGAGGCCAAAGTCGCTGACGTGTATGATAATGCGATTCCATTCAAGTCCAAACTCAATGTCACACTGAAATCCCAATATAGATAAAGTTTAACTGATAATTAGAAGATAGTGGTTAACAAACGCAAGTTGTACAAAAAGGTAATTCGCATTTTTTAGTACAAGTAATGTATAAAAATATTGTGATAAAACAAATTTAATTTGTATAGAGTGTATTGTCCAAAAGAAAACACAATACTTTCTTTATCAACTATCTAAAAATGATGCTTAATGAAAACAACAATTTTATTTTTTTAGTTAAAATAGACATATCATTTTAACTTATAAACGCAAACAAACAAAGAAAATGAGTCCTTAAACGTACTTACCCAAATAAGGAGAGCATGAAGATCTTGATGAAGGTCACAAATGAAAGAGGTGGAGCACTTTTCCTAAAGAAAAAATGAAGAGCATACTTTACATAAATATATATATTTTAAGGATATTGTACACACTCATCTGTCTAAAATATATATATTAATTAATATTGAGAAATATAGACAGATATGGAGTACCGTTCGAAGAAGAAAGCGAGAGGAGCCAAGAAGATGGTAGCAAACGCTTGGCGATAGAAAACGAAGACGAAAGTGTTCATTCCACCATTGAAGACAGCTTTAGAGATCAAAAACATGATTGCGTATATAAGTTGTATCACAGTCACCACCATGTAGGGTTTCTTCGTCTCCATGTCCATCAATCGATAGGTTGATGATTTTGGTTCTGGTTTTGATTTGAGTTTTTGGAGGAGAATATGTATACGTATTGGTTACTATTTGACTATTTATAATGTGTTCTTGTCTGAGTTAGAATAAGAGCTAAGTGGGTATTTATATAAGCACATACACAAGCACCCACAAACTTGATGTTTTATGACGGTAATATTCGAAAATAATGAAATAGATATTTCAAAGTACGTAGCTAAGAGTGGAGGAAGAGAAAGTTACTTTTGTGTCAAAATCTCACGATACCAACCAAAATTATTTTGATGTTGACTAAAGAAATTTCTTATAGGTGTGTGTGCTCATTCCGTCCAGTAATCACCATGCCACATCTACTAGGCTTACATTAATTACCGCATAGTTAGTTTCGTAGAAAATAAAATTGATTGATGAACTAAATTGTAAAATGATTAAGTGTGAAAAGAATCTATCAAGTCATATATGCATGGGACATTGATTGTAAAAACAACGTTCGTGGTTCTGTTGGGTTTTACTTATTATAGAAATTATGGTTCAATCGTTAAGCAATCATGTAAAAAAAAATGCTTCCATTATAACATCTAATGTCACACTCTAGTCCAAACATTATCCATAACTGATTTTTACATAATTTTTTTTATAGCTGTTGGGATTCCATAGATTTCTATTATTCAGAAACCAATCCCACGAGACTTTGCATCATGGGAAACAGAACATGTTCAATGCAGGGCTTTTAGGTTGGGGTTCTTAACGGAATAAAAAAATTTGTCTCTTAATTTTTAACTAAAAGATAAGAATCGGTTCTTAAATATCATATTTAAAAACCGGTTTTTAATTTTTTTAGTTAAAAGTTAAGAGACATATTCTTATATTCCACTAAGAACCCTAACCTAAGAATCCCGCATTGAACATGCTAAATTATATTATTAAAGGCACAGCTAGGTAGCTAGTGCAGGTCGAACAAAGATAGCAATAGTTTCAGGCAAAACCTTTTCACTACTTTGGACCAGACACACTTTGGACCAACGTGTCTGGTTGATACATAAACTGATTCGCTTGGCTAGTTGAGATATAATTTATCAGTTAAAGTATTGTGAATTAACTGTTGCTTTTCTGTGTTTACTAGTGATTTTATAGACTCAATCATAATCCATAACAAAGACGCAGGAAAATAAGATGTTCGTTCGGGTTATCCAGAATTAAGTAAATAATACTATAATGCATAAAGATAAAGAATTCAATAATACAAAAGAAACCATAAAAGTAAAAAAAAACAAAAGGACCAATGAGATGAAAGTGTTTGATGACCCATAACCATAGGCATGTGGTTTAAACGTATACGTGACAAAGTAGATGTTGATTGTAAACCGCGGACGTCTACGTTATCACGAGTTTTGGCCATGCAAAATAACATAATCCATGTAGTAGCTAGTATCGCCATTATTATAAATTTAGCTTTTAGGTCCCTTTTTCAAATCACATTTTATTAATTTGGTATACATGTATAACATGTGTTTTGTTTAGATCGTCGAAACCAACACAATAAACCTGAAACTCTTTTGTTTATTTAGAACTTCTTTGCAAACAGAAATACATGTACTATTTCATTTTATAAAACTACTTGTGTCTAATCAATCAATGATTGATTGGTTTTGAGTGTATGATACAAAACTTATAATTAGAACAACCTGGGAAACAAAACCTCGCTCCGCTTAGTGTCACCGTCGAGAATCGAGAAAAAAAAAACATGTCATACTGAGTACTGTATACTGATAGCAATTAACCCTATGATTTCATGCTAAATTATGAGAAAGAAGCATTCAAGGAATATACGCATCTCCAATCATTTTCTTCCTCAAAATTTAAAGTGAACCTACCGTCTAAAAAAGAAAGAAAAAAGGACAGCTAAAGAAGAGAAAGCAAAACATATCATGGTCTGGTCAAGAAAAGAGCCATCGTAGTCGTCAAGGAAAGAGAGAAAATTAGCTTCACAAATTTTAAACGTTGCATATAGGCACCGGCTTCCAAGTTACAACAAGAAAGTTCTGACTTTAGTCCAAAAAAAAAAAAAAACAAAGTACTGATCGATAGTGCAGAAATATCACGTGTCTTTTATAGGCCAGTTCGTTTGACACAAACCTGTTATATAGATAAATGAATCCGACACAAGGTCATGAAAAAAACTCGTTGGTTCAACCATTATTGGGCTTACATGCTATGGCTCATATTGAGTCGTTTGTATGCTGTTTGCAAGTGAGCAAAATTATTATTTTTTTAAACTGGTTTATTATTATATTACAAATTATAAAAATATGTTACAGTAGATGATTTGAAACCGATAATTTAATTTAATTTATGAGTATGCATGATTACACTATTCTAAACTTTTTTTCTTGCTAATCTACATAACAGTTAATAATCATTTTGTGTATAAGCGTTAAGCGTTGATGAACCCTCGGCTTTCACAAGTGGGTAAGGGGTTTAATGTGGCTTTGTCTCTCGTTGTTCTTTTCCCCAACTCCTAAGAAGCTAAAATCCTCTTTGTTCAACTCATTTTCGCCATTACAATCACACATCAAACGTCTTCTTGTTAAACTCATTTCTTGAAAAAAGCATGGAATGTAGTGTTTAGTTCTATGTAAAAACCAGTAGAAATGGGCCAAAGTATGGTTTGTAATGGTGGAAGTGAAACGTTGTCGCTCTAAACGCAAACCCTCAACCACTTTTTAGTCGTTGCATTGAGAAATCAAACGTGTCATACGTTCTCAATCCTTCGCGTTGACTGTTGAGTTTCAATAAACCTTCTAATTCCTTTTTTTCTTTTTGCTAAAAAATCATTTAATTCGTTTATTTACTCAAAATAAAAAACGTTATGCATGTTTGGCATACAGAAGAATACAAACATAGTTCCATTATTTCAAACTTTGTTTTTGGTTTTGAACATCTAATGTTAAAAACACCGAAAAGGTAATCTTTATTGAACAATCTTTAATTAACTTTAAACATAAGAAAAAGAAAAAAAAACCATATATTTTAATTAACCAAGTCCAGGGTACGTAATTTCAACCGGAGACAAAGCCAGAGCTTCCGGCGCCGGAGACGGTGACGGTGACGGAGACAACACCAGCTTCTCCGCCTGAAAATCACAATACTCGCTAACCATATTCCCTTCCATATTCGTAAGCCCTAGAGAAGTAAACATAACGGACCAACACTCTTTCCCAATCAGCTCAATAGCTCCACAACAATCTTTGTCAATTCCACCGGTTACACCCGGTTCAGCCGTACCGTTACGGCTCATGAAGAACTTGACGATCTCATCAGTGCAAGACTTGAGCTCCAACGCCGCGTTCCAACAATCCACTAGGTTTCCGTCACCTGAATGATCAGCAGCCACCGTCATGGTCTGCATGTTCCTTGCCTCGACGACGGTGGTGAAGTGAACGGTCGATATGAGATATGCAAGTGTTAGAGATGTGAGGAGAGAAAACTTTGAAGTAGCGTTAGTGGCCATTGCTTTTGTTTTTTTTGTTTGTATGTGTGTGCAAGCGATTATGTGACGATTATATAGTGGAAAGAAAAATGAGGGAGATGAGAAGTTTTCATTTGTTTAATTATGTTATTAACTATCACAATAGATCGTGGTTAATTAATTAGTACTAAACTATTGATGCACCACTGTGTCTTTATGCATATCCGTTACGATCAATTATGTAAATTGATTACGGTTGCGTTACAAGTTTGTGTAAATTAGCAAGGAGTGTTCGTTTATAAGTGTATCATGCAATTTTCTACGCAATTTGGTGGCAAAGTGCAGATATGTTGAACCCTACACGGCTACACTATTAGGGCTTTATTAAGCCCATTAACAAGGAGTGTTAGTTTTTTTTATTTTTGAACAACCAAGGAGTGTTAGATGAGAAGTTTTCATTTGTTTAATTATGTTATTAACTATCACAATAGATCGTGGTTAATTAATTAGTACTAAACTATTGATGCACCACTGTGTCTTTATGCATATCCGTTACGATCAGTTATGTAAATTGATTACGGTTGCGTTACAAGTTTGTGTAAATTAGCAAGGAGTGTTCGTTTATAAGTGTATCATGCAATTTTCTACGCAATTTGGTGGCAAAGTGCAGATATGTTGAACCCTACACGGCTACACTATTAGGGCTTTATTAAGCCCATTAACAAGGAGTGTTAGTTTTTTTATTTTTGAACAACCAAGGAGTGTTAGTATACAAGTGAATCATACAACCAAAAATGTTTTTCAGGCTTGAAAATAATATAAAGGCCTAGTGTAAAAAAGGGAAGGTCGTTTAAAAAGGATGTATTGATTTGACGAAAGCCCATTTACGTAAAATAAAGAAAATTTGGATTTTAAAAAGTGTGGCTGCTGGGATTCGAGCCCAGGTCTCCACGGCCACAACGTGGAATTCTCACCACTAAACTACAGCCACTTTGTTGTTTAATTAGCTGAATCTTTAAAACTAGTCAAATGTAACTTCTATCTGATGTCCCATCGGGTTGAACATGGAATCAAGCAAAAGGTCGTTGTTGCTAAAAAAACAGTAAAAACTATTCTGCCTTGCTTTTGTTTTAGTCTCCAAAATCGGAAATCATGATTCTATTCTTCTTCCAATTATTCTCACGTTGAAAAAGACAAGGAAACATGAAGTTCTGATATTACGTTACGAAATGTTCTAAAAACTTATGAAAGAGAATCAATCACATAGCTGGAAAACATGGGGGTATTTGTGAGGAACATGGCAATGACATATTAATAAGACTAATCTTTTGCATGTGTTATTTCACATTGTTTATCTATTTAATCTCTTATCCGCCGCCTCGTAATATAATTTTTCTTACAAATAGACAGATTCAACTTCACAAAAATTAATAACAAAAATAATTATTTAAAATGTTATTACAGCTCATCACCAAAATATTACACTTTTAAGAACAAAAGAAGTCAAAACTTCTTACCCGAAAGCCCGAAACAATCTATCTAGTTTGGTTATGTATCTATAGTCGGAAAAGATATTGTCCGAATGCGGTCAGGCGACGTACGCTTACATAATCGTTCTAACGAACCAATACTGTCGCGAGTGTGATTCAAGAACTACACTCACAGAGATATAACTGGTGATGAGCTGTATTAAACGCAAAGAGCTTTAGGTGACCGCTGCCCGTTAAAATCTCAAAACACTGCCCGAAATCTGAGAGAGGTGTTCCTTAGTTCGGACCAGTTGGACTTTTTTTGTTTGGTTGTCTAAAGTACAACAAAGCAATTCCACAGCTGTCTGATATTTTTCCTTTTTTATTTTCTAATTATAAAGTCTGTTTCTTTCCCATAAATTTGGTTTTAGTTGTATAGATTGTGAGTGAACAAAGAAAAAGTTGTATAGAATGTGACTTTTCAAATTTATTACCACCACAAATAGTACAACAATCGTATTAGCAGACAGTGCATGTTGGTGTTTTTTCTACATTTCTTGTAGACTATTAGATATTTGTGAAATATAATGAGTATGACTAGTAGTGAAACATTTTACTTATGCTATTATTTCAGTAAATACGTGCCAAACTATTTTGTGTCTTCTTAAAATGCTATATTTGTATTTTTGGCGGGATGCTATATATGGAGTATCGTAGTACATTTATACATCAATTAAGATGCTTAGAAGTTAGAGCATGATTTTTACAAAAGCTTAAATTAATATCTATTTATGGACCGACAATAGAATTAGCTTTCGACACCTGCTAAGAAAAAAAAACTACTCTCGTCTGTCATTTTAAATATTGTTATAGAATATTTTTTTGTTACCAAATAATTATTATTATTTTTGAATTTAAATGCAAAATTTTAACTTATATGATATTTGATTTTTCTCTAGTTTCTTTATCTACTGACTACAATATAATTAAGTGTATATTTATCGATATTCTTATTTAGAAATTATATAAATTAAATATTTTCTTGATACTTGTACAAAAATCTAATATTTAAAATGAAATAGAGAGAGTAATTTTTTTTCCTTTCAACGAGTATTGTTTTTTATAGAAGAAATGAAATTGTCTTTTCTATACAGACAAATGTAGTTTTAACTCTATCGTTAAGTTGTTTTTTAATTAGTTAATTGAAAAAGTAAACAAATTCATGTACATAAATATACTATATATATAGTTAGTTACATATTTTATTTAAAATTATTCATAGCTTGTTTAAAGTATTATTCACTATGAATTCGTCTTGGTTTTTAAGGTTATTCTTCGGAGGGTTATAGAAAAATCACATTCTCGACCAAAAAAAAACACATTCTTACTTTGAGATCACGTCGTCAATGTGCGCTTTTCAGTTGTCAGAAGTAGAATAACCAAGTACCATAAAAAAATTTGCCAGCGTAGATAGAGGTAATTTAATTATTTTGAAAAGCTACTCATTGCGCACTATCTCGTAGTTATGATGATACCTTTACTATAAATAAACAGTAAAACAAATGAGTCAAAAAGTTACATTGTGTCATGCAACACGTGTTTAGATTAATCATATCGTTTAAACTAAAATTCATGTACACGTAAAGAAAACTACCCTTTATGATTCGACCAATTATACATAATTACATTTGAGTTTCCGTTTAGGGACACATCTTCGCTTTGTTTACATTTTAAAAAATAATAACCGGGAATATTTTTTGGTGAAATCATTTTTATTTTAGATACTTATTAAGCAACGAGATTTTTTACTTCTGTTAAAAATGATTTTTTTTGGGGTAAATGACTCTTTAATTTGTCTCTAAGGTATCTTATTTTGAAAGTTGATAGATTTAATTTGCTCGATAAATAAAAAATGGTACCAAGGATACAAACAAAAGGTATCAACAAGGAAACAAACAACTCTGTGAAGAGGTGGAGTCTTTACGTTTTATTTTGCTGTTTATCTTAAAGAAACAACTATGTCGCTATGAGTCTTCTACTTCTGTCAAAACTATATTTTCGTTTTTTATCAATTGTCAAACATTTCAGTGAAGTTTAGCCTGTGAACTCGTTAGGTCAACATTTAACTCAATACTACAAAAGTATAGTTTTGGTTGTTGTGGTTTATTCTCTGTCAAGATCCATAACAAATTTCACTGAAAGATATGGCTAGATAATCGCCTATCAGCATAGACTCTTGAAACATTATTTTAGTTTAACCGCATATAACTATCTATTTGGATGGACAAATAGAACATTTGTACTAGCGCTGCTGCACGTACTCTTAATGTGGGTGAAACACATTGCTTATTTTATTACATAAATAAGAAATTAACATATACTTATTGATTATTTTATTCAAATACGAAACTTAATTTAAATGTTATTTATGCTAAATCTTCTTATTTGTAAAAACTAGTCTTGTGGATATCGTTTTCCTTAAATTTGTCGTTATCTAAAATCTGTTGAAATATACTGTAACAAATAATTTAATAGCTTTGATACGAGCGCATCCGGTTGAAGTACAACCAAGAAGTTAATCGGTTCGACTTATAATCTCTAACAACGTTGACCAAATGCTTTAACTCGGTCTTCTTTTCTAAATTTTCATATATATAGTTATATTATTCAGATTCCTACTAAACTCAGAAAGTAATTTTGTGTATTTAGTAATATTGAATGATATTACCGAGTGTTATTATTTCGCAGACCTCCCAAGCAGGCAAATAAAAGTATACAATTTGTTATTAATCTTTATTGTTACTTTTCGTGTTCAAGATGTTTTTTTTTTTTTTCAACTTTCATTAAAATAATTTGTTCCTCTTATGTTTTCTCATATATTTCTTTATTATGTCTACCTCTTCATAGATAACTTGTCTGAATTTATATTTAGTTATTGTATTCTAAAACTCGGCCCCATCGCTTTATTGCTAATTTGTTTGTTTTTTCACCTTTTCTTTGATGTGCTTAAAATAATAGAAAATGTGCAATTATTGGTACTATCGTATCACATCACAAATATATATGCCTGATGTCTATATGTATACATTTGCCGACAAATAGTTCGTGATATTAATATATACGATAACATATTGAGAAGGAACGCTACCAATATTCTAATTTTGCTCGTAGAAATTTTATATTTATCAGCTTATTGATTTTTTTTTTTGTCAACTATCGACTTATTGATAATCGGGAGAAATAAACATATAAAATTGGCAAAAAGAATAAATAAAGTATAATTTTTTGAAAACTTATATATTATAATAATCTCGGTCACAAAACTAATACTGTATAGCGAACTTTAGTAGGTTACCACATCAAGTGTCGTTTTCATGATTGTTTAAATACTGTGTACCGTCTTCTCCAAGCCCTCTTGCCACATGTTCTTATAGAAACTGTCGGTGCCCTTATATTATTAATTTTTAAGAACTTTGGAGAAGAAAAATCATTTAATTTTAACGGTTGATTAACAAAAAAACAGCTTGATTGGTCATTTATTTACAAAAACCATATGAAGAGCTGATACATTTC